TTCGCTTGTGACATGAGACTACGACCCGTTACAGCTTAAAGGCTACTACCAAAATATCCCCCCCACTCTAGAAATAAGAACGTCCCCGTACTTAGGTCTCTAGATACCCAAAATACATGAACGCCGTTAAAAACCGGGTCGGAACAATCCGTTAAGTTACTTTTTATTAGACAGTGGAACTTTGATCCATTTCAGATGGATCAACCTAAAACTCGCCTTACCTCAACATAACAATCATAAAACACACTCTAGAAATTTAAATTGAGTACTCACATCGTAGCACGCTCAAGAACTGGGAGTAATTAAGTCGGTAATCAACTCGAGAATTAAATAATGTAACTAAATGAGTTTAATGTTTATCAGTTTCAATAACAGGACCAAGTTTGAACTCTAGAGTATGGTTTCTCGTGAACCATTGGGACACTCAAGCTGTCCACCTTTCCATCGAAGGTTCACTCTAGTCCAGTTTGAATAATAATCCAGTCGAGCAATAATGGTCCAGTTCTCGGGAATACGCTTCCTTTTGTTTCAGATAGGACAGCTCTACTCTAGTTTTATTGTGACGGAAATTGCGAATAGCAATTTCCTACTGCTTTTCTGGCAACTTTTCCCGCGATTGTAACTCGATCGTTCTGATTTCTCTTTTTCGGTTTTCAGTTATCGCGAGAAAATCGTGCATGACAGGCTCCATTCGAATTTTTGAAAAATCAAATTTCACTCCAAAATTAAGCGTTCTTGTTTTTCTCAAGGTCAAACTTCCAAATATGACCGACTGGCACAGTGTTTTAGGTATTTAGAGATGTAGTTATGAGGGAATATTTATTTCAATCTAGAGGAGGGTATTTTTGGGTGAATTCCCAGAAGTCCCAAGATTCATAGCACCCAAAATGGAAAATCAGTCGCATAAGTCCCAAAATTCATCTTCTGGAATTCTCAATTGTTGAAACTGTTCATACAGCGTAGTACTGTTCAGACAGCATAATCCCGAAGCTGCAGAGGGGTGACCGCCGCAGATACGCCAACGTGTAACAAAATTGACAATATAGGATAGGACTCTATACGAAATGAGGAGCCGGTTATCGCCACGACGCGCGCGTAGCACGCGCACCGATGACCTTAAACCGAGACTCAGCTAATTTAGTCTTTTGACCAATCGAAAAGATTTGGGATTTATGCCACTGGTTTTTTAGATTGGAACCTATTGGAATTATTTTTTATTTTGGGACCTTTGAATACGCTTTTTTTTGGTGGCATCTTTTAAGCTGTAGCGATCCTAAAGTTCCATGTCATAAGCGAACCGTGAATTGGCTCCAACAGATTGAGGTATAAAAGAACAAAAATTAGTGTCTCTGACCCTTGAAGTGACTTGAGTGAACGGCCGTTACAAATTTTACGAAGGATGTTTGTTTTTTCTCATAGGCTGTTCCATGCTTTTTGTACAATAACTAGCTATTCCAGTTGTTTTTAGTTTTCTCAAGTATGAGCGGAGTTCCTGATAGTCAACGTTCTAGTAGCGCTGGACCTGTTTGGCTAGCTGGAACGTCCTGTCTTTTTTTGAGCGAAATTGCGAGTGATTGAAATTAATTATGTTATGATCACTTTTTATGATGGGCTTCAATAATTAGTAGTACTATACTGTTTTGATCTGAGAATGCTTTTTGCTTTATCAACTGTTTTTAATGTATCAAATATTGCAAAATTTCCCAACTCATATTGAATTAAGTTAGTTGTAGCGTGAAATTTGTTCTTTATTATAATGTAATATTTTTCATTGCCTTTCTTACTCAGACAACGTGTGTGGATGATGTTACTGTAAACTTTGGAATCTGGGAAACCACTGGTCAAGAAAGATGACACTCTCTGGCGCCCATGTTTTGCAGAGGTGCCCAAGTAGCAATCGTAGTAAATGATATCACTTCTCATGTATGTGTACTGAACTTCAAGCTTGCATCTAAAAATTGATGAAATCAGAAGGTCTTGTAACAAAATTTTTCAAAGCAGCCCCGACGTTTCCCGCTCACTCATGAAAGCTGAAGACTCCTCAAAACTAACAAAGAAAAAGGAGTACCACTAGATGTCAGGTATCATGGGCTTCTCTAACAAATTGTTCTTGAGTGCTGTGGCTCATAAATGATTTTTGAAATTGCTGAAATGATGAGGTTTTTGGAGGAATGATTAGTGGAATTCGAAGTCCTAGTAAGGAAAATTTTTTTCTTAGCGTTGCTTCTCGAGAAGGAATATAAGATCATCTGTGTGTCTCGTTCAGAACAGAGAAAGGAAGTGAAACTCTTTGGCGATTAGAATGTTCTGGTCACAATTTTTATTGTGTGGAAGCTGCTCAGATCATCATAGTGCCCCTACACTCAAGCGAGTCCAAATGATGGAAACATCGACAAGATCAGGCTTTTGCCTGGACGGGTTGAGGATCTGAGGGAGCTGAACGTTGTTCACAAGCTGATGCTACCCCAACAGACGAAAGCAAAGGACAAGAACGAGGTATCGAAAAATGAGCGATTCAAGTTGGAGCCAGTTGTTTATTTAGATTTAAGACCAATGGTGGAAGACACGAAAGTTATGAGAACTCTTGCGTGCAAATCCAGTCGTTCCAAAAAGAAGTTTTATTTGCATGGTTTGGCGAAACCACAAAAAAATTGATGTACAGATCTTAGCGGACTGCTATGCCAGCTCAACTGTGAATCTAGCCACCTCAATTTGATTTTTCTCGAGATTGAGAGCCCTGGAGTCATATGAGCTCTAGACATCAAATGTTCATTCCGATCAGCGTGGAGACATGATCGGGAGCCTTGCAAATGGACAAAAGTACATTAAAGTATGGAAAGTGGACCTGAAGGATGGAATAGCCTTCCCTATAAGTGAAGCCTACGGGCTACCGATTAATGCGAAAATCTTGGTGAGGTCAGTCAAGGCAAGTTTCTGCGATACGAAATAGTCCGTCACATGGTGGTGGTTGAAGTGACAAGCCAGAGAATCCTGATTGATACGACATTATCTGTTTCAAATTAAATGCGACACTCGCACCAACTGTTGAAGAAAACATGGGGAGCAGTGCCCGGCACGAAGTTGCATGACTTGAGTGAAATCTTGGGCAGAGCTCCTGAGTTTTGAGAGGGAAATCACAAGCAATTTTCAAAGGCAAATTAGCAATGGAAAGGTCCCTAAAGATGCCCTATCACTCACTGCACGGCTCAGATATTTTGGTACCCTGAGAGAACCAACTTGATGGTCTGGGACGTAAAGGAAATTAGTTCCCTTGTGCTGCCAAATCATTAGCAGAATATCTCAATATTCGTTGTAAGTTCCATACTAGCACTACGATTGATTGAAGAAAACGTCTTGAAGTATCACATACGAAGGAATCCATCCTTGCAATCTAATATAGCAGCAGGCGAGAACAGTTTGAGACCACTTGCAAGGCATTCGTGATTCTTTCAGCAGTGAAACGTATTTGGAGTCGCATGAGAGTCTTCCCATGGTTCAGGGCATTGCTGACGTCTTGTTTACACGATTTGGCCTAGAATCACATGAGGAGACATTCAAAAGTGTACCGACCATTCATGGCAAAGATTGATCTCACAGCTTTTGAACGATAAAGGACCGTTTCTTACTCACCAAAACGGAATAACGTCGAAACAGGGTAGTGAGGATGAAGATGCTGCAAAACAACTCCTCGAGACATCAATAGGAAAAAAATGGATGCTGGAAAAACTGAGGGATCATTGTTATAAATCGAAAACGGATAGTTTCCACGTGTGGGATGGCGTAGAAGTCTCAATTCACTTGGATGCACGAAAAAGTACATCACGATGAATGGTGCAACATGGGAAAACAACAAACCAATGATCAGTTTTTAAAGAAGCTATGCGTCAATGACCTGTGCCTAGCCGGTCGAAATATGGTCAGACCGAAATTGGTTGAACAGAGATTTATTTGCAAACCGAAACTACACACCTGATTTTGATTTGACGGTGAAAGCATCCTTCTGAATTTCAGTCTGTTAGTGTGCCAGTCAGTGATATCAAAGAAACTTGTGTTGTTTTTGAGTGGAATGGAAATTCTCAAATATGGAAACGGCCCTTCCATGCTCAAGTAACCCTCAAGTATAGCTGTTGCACTTAAATCAAACTGCTAGAGTTTTACTTGCGTTACCTAATTGTGTCTGAAATTAGGTCCAGAGTTGTTTTCCAGATATGAGTACTCGAATTTAATTACTTGAGCCCATGTTATCGATTTATATCGAGGTGAGGCGAATTTTAGTTTGATCCATTTGAAATGGATTAAATGTTCTTCGATCAAAACTAATGGTGATTACTTGAGGTCCCAACTCCGTTTTCAACAGCGAACGCGTGTTTTAGGTATTTAGAGATCTAGTTATGAGGGAATATTTTTTTCTACCTAGAGGGGGATATTTTTGGGTGAATTCCCAGAAGTCCCAAGGTTCATAGCACCCAAAATAGAAACTCAGTCGCATAAGTCTTGAATTCTTGATTTTTTTATTTTCTTGAATTCTTTTTAGTTGAAATTTGAGCCAACAAATTTACGGATTGATTGTTTACTGCTCAGACAGCATAAACCCAAAGCTGCAGATTAGTGACCGCCGCAGCCGCGTCAATGTGTTACAAAACTGCCACCGATGACCTTAAACCGAGACTCGGCTAATTTAGTCTTTTGACCAATTGAAAAGATTTGGGACTTATGCCTCTGCTTTTTTATTGGAACCGAAGGGAATTATTTTTTTTATTTTGGCACCTATGAATACGCACTTTTTTGGTAGTGGCTTTTAAGCTGTAGCGATCCTAAAGTTCGATGTCATAAGCGAACCGTGAGTTGGCTCCGACAGATGGAGGTATAAAAGCACAAGAGTTAGGGTCCCTGGCCCTTGAGGTGACTTGAGTGAACGGCTGTTACAAATTTTATGAAGGATGTTTTTTCACATATGGCTGTTCCATGATTTTTGTACAGTAACTGGCTATTACAGTTGTTTTTAGATTTGCAAGTATGAGTGGAGCTCTTGGTAGTCAACGTTCTAGTAGCGCTGGACCTGCTCGGCCAGCTGGAATGTCTAGTGCCGGAAAAGTGTGTCAGTTTAAGCTGGTTTTGTTGGGAGAATCTGCTGTAGGAAAATCGAGCTTGGTTTTGCGGTTTGTCAAAGGACAGTTTCATGAATACCAGGAGAGCACAATTGGAGGTAATCATAAAAATTGTTTGATTGATCATGAATTGAGTGAATCTCCTATACTGTTCCTTTTTTGAGCGCAATTGCGAGTGATTGAAATTAATTATGGTATGATCAATTTTTGTGATGGGCTTCAATAATTGGTTGTACTACTTTGTTTTGTTCTGAGAATGCTTTTCTACTATATCAACCGTTTCTTATGTATCAAATATTATAAAATTCCCTAACTCATAATGAATTAAGTTAATTGTAGCGTGAAATTTGTTCTTTAATTCAATGTAATGTTTTTAGCTGCCTTTCTTACTCAGACAGTGTGTGTGGATGATGTTACTGTAAAATTTGAAATCTGGGATACTGCTGGTCAAGAAAGATACCACTCTTTGGCGCCCATGTATTACAGAGGTGCCCAAGCAGCAATCGTTGTATATGATATCACTTCTCAAGTATGTGTTCTGAATTTCAAGCTTGTAATAATGTAAGGGTTTTAGTTTAAGAGCCCAATGGAAAAATCTTATCTTTCCGTTTCTCTGATCCATACTTTAGATTGCATGCTTTATTTTTCTATTCGTTTCTCTGATCCATAAATTAGACTACATGCTTTTTTTTCAAAAGGGGGAAAAAACTCAAGTAAGGAACCGCAAAAGGATAAATGTCACGAAAAACGTGTATGAGGTCTACTTTCGAAATTGGGCTTTACTGTTTTGAATTTCCAGTTTTCAACTTTTGATCCAGTTTTCTCTAAATGGATAATTTTAAGAAAACAGTGTCATTTTTTATGTTTCCTTGCTTTCATTAACTTTTTTCCAGCTGTCTGTGGGCTATGTTTGTTTTGGTGGTTTGGCTTAGTTATTTGCGAAAAGCGAATGTTAGGTAAATAACAGTTAACTGTGCCGGTGTAGCAGAATGGGCGGATCGCTGAACAGGACGTGCTGGCTTGCTCGTCTTCTTGACCATTCAAACATAAATTTCCTTTTGCTAATAGATACTATCGCTTAGGAAAGTCGGATGTTACAAAAGGAAAGTCGGATGTTACAAATGTGCTTTTTGTTCCGACCAGTGAAAATGTTTTTCGTGTTTTTTTGTTTTTCCACGCAAAACCAGGTGGCTTAAATAATCATCCGACCGAGTGGAGTGATATATCATTTCAAAACCCTTTGAGTCCTAATTCGAACAACGTTGAAGTTTTCAGAAGAGTTGTCCTGGTGTCGAGAAAACCGGTTTGAAATTTTTGAGTTGCATTCTAATTTCGACATAAAGCAGCGAGAAGGCTTATTGAAGAAGGACAAGCCACGAAACTTTAATTTGATTCTATTAAAATTGTTTTTAGAAGGCTTTTTAAGTGCCATCTTGGCAATGAAAACTTCAAAAAAATCCTGCTAAAAAAATATATATATTTTTATGTTTTCGACGAAAACCTTTGACCAATTTGCTTTTTTTTACTGTAACTGTCGAATATGCCTGTGTTCTATGTTTCTGTTAGATCTTTTATCATGACTCACAAAAACCACCACTAATTTGAAAAATAAATGAAAAAGCTTTAGGTGTTTTTTTAGTATGATCAAAACTTTCTGAGCTACATGCACTACAACCGGATATCCTTGTTACGATTGGCAATCATTATGAAACGGGAACATAGAGTTTAAAAGTTTGGAAACAATTGCACTTGAGTCAGTTAGTTAACTATGATTCCATTAACAACTGACATATTATGAGCAATTCTGCATTATAGATACTTTTTTAAAAGAGCGGAGCGTAGTGTGATAGTACAGTGCATCTTTTTTTAAACCTAAGTAGCAAATAAAAGTGCTACTAAGTTTTCGGTGGCGCTTATGAATCAGTAGGCTGCATAGCATTCCATGGGCTTTGACATATGATAAGCAATAAGTTAACACAATTGATGCTTTTAATGTATCAATTTTTTTTTGCGTTGTAATTAAAAGTTTTACCGACAAATGTATCAATTGAACCGAAAAAAGCTATTTGTTTTATACAACAGTGTAATAATTAATTTCTCATTTCAGAAGATTCTCACACGATATAATTCGCGAGATTTTTGGAATGCATAATTTATACGCAATTTGGTATAATTCTAATTGTTCCGACCATTGAAAATGGGGAGGAACTTATTCGGGTGTGTTTTAGTGTTTCGTTTTTTGTTTTCCACGCAAAATTAGATACCACAAATATTGATCGTACTGAAACGAGTGATATATCATATTAAAGCCCTTTCAGTCGTGATTCGAACTACTTCGAAATTTTCCAAAAATTTTTCCCAGTGTCGAGAAAAATCGTTTTGAAATTTTTGATTTTTTGTCGTAATTCGAGTGAATAAAGCAAGCGAGCAGGCTTAGAAGCTGAATTATGCCTAATTTAAGACCTTAAAATTTAGTTTGAAGCAAGTAAAACTCGTTTTTGGAGTTTTTTGCTTCATTTTGGGAATCAAAAAATTCCAAATATTTCTGCAGAAATTTTTAAAGTTTTTTAAGTCATTTCTCTACAAAATTTTTTGTCCAAATTGTCTATATTACTATGACTGTCTAATATGCTTAAATTATATTTTACGTCAGATCCTTTTATCCCACCAAGCGGAAAAAATTACACTAATTTGGAAAAAAAACTGTCTAAACCGTAGTTTTCTAAAGACTATCTATGGTCGGAACACTCTATGCTACTTGCACAGTAACCGGCTATCCTTGTTTTTATATGCAAAGTAAGTGTGGTTGCATTCCAAATTTTACATGCAAAAATTGAGTTAGTGCATTTTGAAGCTCCTGAATTTTTACCGCTTTCTCGCTCGTGTTTGCGAAGTGGCTGTTTTGCCTTGTTGTCAAAATTTGTTAAGGATGTTTGCATTTTGAATACTGTTCTTACTAAAAGTTTGTATTGTGTTATTTGCAAAATTATCAACTCAGATTTGGTTTTTCAGTTTTATCCTTTCAAAAGTTTTTTTTGCGTTGTTTTATCCAGTGTAAAAGGTCTTGACGGATAATTTATTGACTGAGCTGACTCATTTTGTATAAGTGTTTTATGACAACCATTTTTGGGTCCAACTGGGGTCTGCTCAAGACTGGCAGTTGGCCTAATTATCATATTTTACTAAAAATAAACTTATACACATCACGACAAAGGTATGAAAATGTTGATAGTCCACTTCGACAATTTTAAGTAGTTATATCGACTAAGTAGCTTTATAAGTATCAGTTTCGATGTGCTAGCTTGTTTTTCTAAAAATCTTCTGGTTCTGTGAAGTGTTATTAAACGAAGTGAAAACACTTTAAGTCGATTGAGTTTTTTTTCAGGGCGGTGTGTTGAATGTTTTAAGCTCAAGTTTGATTTTCCTTGGTTTGACGTTTGCTTTTTAAGTTATTTTTTTTTTGCTAAATGAAAGCAAATTACGCTCTCCAGTTATAAAAAGGCAAATTGCGCAAAAAAAGGTGGCCTTGAGTTTCAAATGTGAATTTTAATTTTAAGAGTTCCTAAAAAAAAGTTCTTCAAAAAAGTTTGGTATAGGTAATGATAGCTAAATTAAGTCACAAACATTTGAAAAACAAGATGGGGATGCATTGCCAGATCCTTTTTGAACTGGATCCTCATTGTGTATGGCAAAAAATTCAGACCCGTTTTTCTCGGTTCTGAAAACTTTTTCAAACATCCCTTTAAAATCTGGATAACGACTGAAAGGGGTTTTTTTTTATTTGATCCTAAAGTTGAACTAAAAAGGTTCTTTGATGTAAAATCCTTGATGCTGCAAAAATCCCTCCTACTTCTTAGTTACTTTCCTTTTTACGAGAGTGGTCGTCGTAACCAGTAACTTAAAAATAGGTAATTGAGTTTCAATCGGGACGTGTTTTATATTGAACGTTTTTGTCTTTTAAGGTGACTAAGATAGAACGCTTAAGGTTTAAAAGGTGGCAATAAATTTTCTAGTGGAATTTGATTTTTACACCAGCATAGCTTGTGTTATAGTATGAACTATCTTTTTTTCCAACCTAAGTCGCAAATATTGTTGCGACGCAAATATTGTTGCGGCAAAATGTGTTCATTTGAAAGTGTTCATTTTGATCAATACCCAGCTAATAATTACAACCATTGCTAAGGATATTAACACGGACTATTAAATTACAAATTCCTGTTTGATAAAAAAAAGTTTTTTTGAGACGTTTTGGAAAATTTTCCTTTTTCTCAGAAACTACTCTACTGAATTTCAAAAGAGCGGTACTAATGGCGAGTTCGGCCACTCGCCTGTTTGCCTGGATGCTCCCCTAGTCTCTTTCTACCTTACCCTACTTTCTACAGCCTTCGAAAAAGTGTGTGGGGGAATTTTCGACCCCAATTTTTGGATTTTTTGTATTTTCACGAAAACTAACCACCCAAATCTGAGATTTTGGGTTCAATAGATAGAAAAGGTTTTGGAGAGCTCCCCTGAATAAGCGGCTACGCCCAATTTTTTACACAAAATGTTATGGCCCTCAAAATAGTCACTTTTTCGATTTTTTGACAATGTTATGAAACTTTTACTTTTTTTCTCAAAAACTACCCTCCCAAATCTGAGATTTTAGTTTTGGTCGAACGGACGGGTTGTGGATAGCTCCTCTTCTTCAGCGGTTACGCTCAATTTTTTTCACACAAAAAGTTATTACCCTCAGAAAAGTCAAACTTACGATTTTTCTAACCGCTTTTTCAAATTTTTTCGGTTTTTCTCATTAACTACCCTCCCAAATCTTAGATTTTGGTTTCAATGAGTAGAATGGGTTATGGGAAGCTCCGCTTCATTAATGATTACGCCTTAATTTTTCTACACGAAATATTCGATTTGACTGTTTTTCCAAACTTTTCGATTTTTCTCGAAAACTACAAGCTCAAATCTGAGGTTTTGGTTTCAATGAGAAGAATTGGTTGTTGGGAGCTCCACTGCATAAACGATTACGCCTAAATTTTTATACACAAAAGGTAGGACCCTCCGAAAAGTCGAATTTTTGATTTTTGACCTTTTTTCTTAAACATTTTAACTTTTCTCAAAAACTACCCTTGCGAGTTTGAGATATTGGTATCAATGAAGAGAGAAAGGGCTCTCTGTGTAAGCGCTTACGTTCAAATTTTTTAACACAAAAAATTTATGTTTCAGAAAAGTCTGTTTTAAATTTTGTAAGAAGCCTCCGTGCATAAACTGCTACGCATTTAAGTTTGAGCAAGAAACATGTTTCTGGGAAAATTCCTGAATTACAAAATTTATCACTGATTTTTATATAGAGCAACGACCAAGGTTATGGGAGAAGATCAATGCATAAATTTTCTAAACCTACTTCATCCCGCATCAGTACAAAAAATTCAAGTGATAACCAAAGAGATAACATATATATATCTTTGGTTCATGATTTCTGAACACTCTTTCAATAAAATGAAAAGTGTGCATTTACAGCTGTCTTGGCTCAGTTTCTATTGTTAAGGCAGCCTAACAGAGATAAAATATTTCTTGGAAAATGTGAACGTTTATTTAGGAATCCTTTGCGAGAGCTAAAAACTGGGTAAAGGAGCTCAATCTGCAGGCAAATAATATTGTCATTGCCTTGGCCGGAAACAAGTGTGATTTGGAACCACAAAGAGCCGTGTCTAGAGCGGTTTGTTTCCTTTTCTAACTTGGTTAATTTATTTTGCTTATAACTTGTCTGATTGAGTTTGATAATTTTGAAGGAAGCGCAGCAATATGCGGAAGATCAGAACTTACTCTTCATGGAGACGTCTGCAAAGACAGCGATCAATGTGAGCGAAATATTCATGGAAATCGGTTAGTAAACCTATTTTTATGTGTCTGAGAAAAGACTTTTTGTTTGAATAGAGGCTATCGACTGTCACCAATGGCTGCTTGAAACTACCTGTTTTTTTTTAAGCTAAGACGCTGCCAAAGGGCGGAGGACCCAAAGCAGACGGAGGAATTAACTTGAATCCCGGTCGTGCCGGCAACCAGAGATCATTTGGCTGCTGCAACAAATAAGTAGTCGAAACAAACAGAACAGACGTAAATTTCCATGATTAGATTAAACTTTAACCTATTTTCAGCATTTTGAACTCTCGATCCTTGCACGCATAGGCCGTTTAAATGGATAGATAACTTCTTTTTTTTTCATGGGATATTGTAAGTATGTTATAAAGAGAATGTCATAATTACCTTTGCGATAATATAAAAATGTGCTATTTTCATGAGATAAGATGAAAATGTCTAACGGCATTTTATCTTCTAAATTTGATTGACTGCGTCTTGATTTCAAAAAGGTTTTGAAATGGTTCAACGGATAGTGGTTCAATCCTTTTTATTCGATTGCTTTATTGAGAAAAAAATCGACTGCAGACTTTCCCTTGTTAAAATGTGAATGAAAAGTTATTGAGTTTCAAACTAATGGTAGAGCTGATATCTGTTATGAAGGAATTTTAGGCTCAAATTTGAGAATCAAGGCAAATTGTTTACAAAATATGTTTGAAATCTATTGGCGCTGTATAAGTAGTCATTTTCTATAATTAAAATCCTATCTTTATAGCCCGAAGTCATTCGTCACTCGATCAACTGTTTTCATAAATTATTCATCCCTATTCAAGTTCAAACTATTCTCAAAATCAGTCGATATAACACCATCGGTTGTTTGTAAACCAGCCGAAGTGCAAACTAGAGGTATTTATATGAATTTACCAAAAATAGTAGGCTGCGTCAAAGTACCCAGAAGCCAGAATTGTAACAAATGCGAAAATCATTCAAACATACCCTTATATGATCTAACTTCTGCATTTTTTACATTCCCTTTTTCATTTTTTTTTTCAGATTACGGCTGGTTTATTCATACTCAGTTGCATTGACTTATAAATTTATCTTTTCAAATTGAGATAAGGTTTTCCTTCATGAATGAAAGAAGTCAAATCTTCAGGAGGAAAATCTTTGTATTCTTGAATCGAAATTGAGGTTTTCTGTACTACTAAATTTACATTTATTTTAACAATTATACATGTGTAGAAAATTTATTTTGTGCTAAATGCGTTTTTTCAGTCAGCAAACATCTAATGATTTTTCGTGATGCAAGAGCTAAAAAAAAGAATGACGTAGCCGCTCAAGCTACGTTTTTTTGCGGCTATATGAAGTAACTTGCTTTCAGTCACCATTCGGATGAAGTGGAATGACGCGTTTACATGATAAAAACGAAAACATGAGCAAAATAACGAAGCCAGTTTGCAAGGGACGGACGTTCGCGTTTTTTTTTTGTCAATAGAGGCTCGAGTTCCTCGCGCAGCAGTTTACACAGATGCATAATTGAGTTGCAAATAATACCTATAATCAGTTTTTGCTCCACATTTCTCAGAATCAATTTTTAGTTTGGAGCTTTTGCTTTTCATGTGCCATAAGAAAATGTTACAAAACGAAAAGATAACTGTCCCGGTACAGACTTTGTGTATCACAATGAGCGAATCGCTAAACATTGGACGTGCTGGCATGCTCGACTATTCAAAAATAAATATTTCTTCGCCCGTATATACTATCGGTTGCTTTAATGTTAGGAAAATCGAATGTTACATGTGCTTTTTGTTCCGACTATTGAAAATGGGGAAGAACTCAGTGTTAGGGTGTGTTTTACTTTTTTTTGTTTTTTTTTTCACGCGAAATCAGGTAACTCAAAGAATCATCTATATTGGTTGAGTGATATATCATATTAAAGCCCTTTCAGTCTTTAAAATCAAATTAAGCCGTAAAAACTTAGTTCGAAAGCCGTAAAAACCAGATAAAATAATGGTCGAGCTTTCTAGCGCCATTTAAGGAACAAAATTTTTTACGAGTTGTTGTAGTTTGAAAAAAAGATTGGAACTTGCATAGCATCTGTTCTCTGCTTTATTATTGGCCAGTGTTTGTCATTAATTAAGCTTCCTTGGCTGAATGTATAGAGCGTAAGGTTCTTAATATCTTGGTCGTATGTTCGAATCCGACACGTAGCCGAATTTTTTAAACTAATTTAAGGCTAATTTCTATTTTTTACTTTCGCATTTTATAGAGCTGCTTTTTGTCGTGTACTCACTAGTGTTTGCGAAGCGCAGTTTGGTCTCGGTGTTTACTGTTGCTATAAAAATTCCAGACTTTGCCCACATACTTGAATCAAACCAAGAACAGAAACGTCGCAAATTGAAAAAAAAAACTGTTGAACGCAGCGCGGACTCTTATTTATGTTGTGATGTTTTTTTCCAAAAAAAAAACAATCAAGTGTCAGTTTTCTTTTTTCAGATTTTCAAGTTAAGTGAAATTTACTTAATGAACCAGTTTTCTCAGATTGAGTTGATTATATCAAAAAATTTCAATCTTAATTTGTTCTTGAAATTCAGAGCTTTAAAAACATTTATTTGTACTTTGAACTTCCAAATTTGATTTTTAAAAAAAGTAAAAAAAAAACAAGGTTATTTTCTGTTTCCTTGCGTTCGTTGAACTTTTCTCCAAATGTCTGAGTTATTAGTTGGTGTAAGGATTAGGTTTTATCATAAGTTTTGCACAAGACACTATAGTGAAATTGTTCATTACGAGGCGAAACTATGCACTGAATAGGCGCACACTTTCGTGTTTGCAGGTCTCTGGACTCCAGAGTTGAGTCTAAGTCTATTAACATGTTCTAAAAGGTAAGCGATTTCGACGCACAAGTTTTCCGTGGATTCCGCTACCAAATGCCTGTAATGTAAGCTTTGTCGCCACATAAGTTTTACCGCGGATTCCTTAAAAAAGGAATATAGTTAGTTTTCTGGAATCTCGCAAAATCTTAATGGATGCCGCAAAATGTAAGCGGATTCCGCAAAAGTGAGTGAAATCCGCTAAATTTGTAAGCGTAACCCGCCAATGAAAGTGGTTTCCTCAATTTTGCTTTAAGCTGAACTACACCAGTTCTTGCGGTTGAACAATTGAAAACATTTTATCTAGCAATGCGGAATTTTTAAGCAAGGACGTAACTATTGTCACATGAATTCATGAACAAATCTTACATCATTTGTTAACCAAATCGGTGGATATATTATTTTGTATTTGAGATAAATGTCCCAGCAAGCATTTCTCAGGATCACTCGGAAAAACAATCACCGGAGAAAATCATTGTGAGATTTTAATGGTTTGAGAATGGTTTAAAATCGTTAGTATTTGAGATGAGATAGGTGAGTGTTTCTGAGCGCATTTTTGAAATTGCGATTGTTTTTTTTTTTAAAAAGATTCAAAACTAAGACAACTGATGAATTGAAATATCCAATTTTATGCTTTCAGCTAGGGTAATTACTTGAAACTGGGTTCTATTTTCAAGTTGGAATATATATATATGTTTTTAAAAAGTGTGAATCATAAATTTTTCTCCAAATTACAAGAGCATTGAAGAAATATAGTTTTCCTCTTAAAGTTCGAGAAACATTAATGAAAAAAATTCCTCTTAATGAAAAAAAAAACATTGGCGGGAGTTGAGATCGAATTTGTAAAATCCGGGCAGGAAATGAAATCGAAGATGTTGCGGGCAGTAATTGAGATCGAAGTTGGGTGCAACTTGTCAGTAATTAAGTTCAAACGATTGGGGTAGCTCAACTGTTAGCAGTTGTGAGATTGAACTTGCTTGTGACCTACCTACTGGTAAAATGATTTTTACTTTTAAACGCTATTTTATATGAAGTGAAATCCGCAAACAAAATGCGGACTCCGCTTACAATTTGTTTATTCCACTTGCAATTTGCTGACTCCGCACTCAATTTGCAGCTTCCGCAACAGCTCTTTACTATAAAGTATATAATTTTGCTATACACACATGTCATCACTTGGATTCCACCAAATATTCTGGATTCCGTGTTGCGGATTCCAAAAATTCGCCTCTTTTTGAAGCAATTTTGAGCAGTAAACTGTTTTAGCTATTTATTTGTGGAATCCAAAACAAGAAATAAGGTCAAGTAAATGTAGCAATGTTGCTGTTTCTGTGACAAGTCTAATTTTGGCTTGCTGCGAAATCCTCTCAAAATTCACAAAGTTCCAGTTGGGCTTCGTAGTGTAGGAATTTGATAACATCTATTTTTATCTTTGTTAGTGGCTATCATTTGCCGATTGCTAAGCGTCTGTGGCACAGATAGAAAGACATGAGGCTCTCCATCAACTCTCTAGAGACTCAACGCTGAACTTAGCTCTTGTTTTGCTTACATTTGGTGGCTTTTTTGCTGATTAGCATTCGCATTTAATTAGTATCTGTAGCTGCTTTAGTGGTGGCTACAGCATTAGTTAGTGGTTACAGTATTGTAAGTAAACTTGCTCGGGTTGGTGCCGCAGAGGCAATGAATTGAGATTTCTATTCTCCAGGTCTGAGATTCAGGTTAGGCACAATGGAATAGTTTTATTATTCATGGTTTATTTCTATTCTTTCTTTTTCAGTTTTGCTCTGTGTCCTTTTCTCGCGTGTGTTTGCGAAGTGCAGTTTCACCTCTGTGTTTGAAAAAGTAACCGTATTTTGGTCGGGTGATGTCTATACCCAGCGAGATATTATTATACAATCCGTCACTTTTTTCAAGCTAAAGTTGCACATTTAGAAGCAAAATTTTAAGTAAATTATGTAATAACATCTTTAATGAGAACATCTTATTATATCCGCTTTAAAAAGATTGATCTTTGCTGCTTGATTTCTAATTAAAAATTGTGCTTAAAAATAGTCAGCATGATCAATTATTTATGTTACGGCATGTTCTTCCTTTAGTTTTTCCTTTTTAGAGTTGTTTGCTGTTATATAGCCTATAGTAGCGAAGTGCTGTTCTGTCTTTTTTGACAAATTTCCATTCCAACAGCCTCTTCCTAATTTTTTTTAAAGATTTTTGCGAGAGTTAGTGTGTAGGTGTTGAATGGAATTGATCTCGTGCTAAGAACGAAAAGGAGGCAATTTTCCATCGGTTATGTTACGGCGTGATTGGGTAGCAGGAAATTGTTCGTAGTGGTATATTTGAATTATCTCCTGTTAGCTGTAAGGGAAAATACTTTTGAGTGAAAAAAACCATAAATTTGGCTGAAGAGTCAAACGCTTGTCAGCAGTAATAACCATTTGTATCAGATGTTTTACATATCTTAGTAAATTTGATAAACCCTGCTTTTTTCCATCGGTTTTTGGAAGAAAGGAAAAATGTGAATCGTATTGACCGCTTATTGTTCGGAATATTAGAGGTATTTTTGTTTTTGAATTACTGGGTGTTACTGCTACTTCAGGTTGTTTCAAAAAAGACAGAAAGTTTTGTATGGGAGCAAATTTTAACCAGAGTTGCCTTGTTTTGAAATGGAAAACACATAAGTCGGTCATTGCTAGTCCGGAGGCTGCGCATGGTGTATCCTCCGTAATGTAGCTTGTAGTGTCCTTGATCTGGTAGATGGCTAAATTTGCGTTATTGTAGCGCTGTCCGTGGTAACTCTGGTGTTCCTTTGTTCTGAGATTGTTTCAATCTCCGAATATATTCGCGTAAAAAAGAAGTATGGCCAGCGTTTTCGTTGGGTACGTGCAAAAAGGTATCGAAAGACATAGTTGAAAGAACATTAATTTTTGTGTCGAAGGCAACTACGATGTAGCTATATAACTTTTATTCTCTAGAATTATGTTTCGTTTGAAGGCTAAGACACTGAGTATTTTGATAACCGACGTTCAAAACCAGCCGATAAATCAAGAGGGAATCATTTTTTTCGAGGGTAGATAGATTTTTTCGAGAATATTGCGCTGAAGGTCTGCTTACTGTATTAAGATGATGCTATAATTATGGACAATGAAGGTTTCTAAATTTCTGTAACATTGTTAAGCAGTTTTGGGAATTCAACAAGTTGTGAGTATTCAATTCAACGATAACTGAAGGACCAATTAAAACTGCAACAACGCAGATAGCTTGTTTTAAAATTTATAACCGTGAAGAGGCGTTCGATTGAAAGGTACATTTTTGCCAAAAGTAACACAACTAGTGTTTTTTCACACTGGAATTAGTCCTGTTAACGTAAAAATAGCGCATCAATATAAGCGGGG